CATGATCCTGGGGGGGACACGGCCACGCCGTGGTCACCCCAAAATGTCCCACCCCAAGGTGGGGGAGCTCAAGGGTGGAGGGTGACCGTCGGCATCGCGGTGGCCTCTCGCTCGGGACAGCCCAGAACTCCGCCCTGGGGTGTTGCCCGACCTTGGGAAGGATCCCCGGGGAGATGTTTTGGGGTTCCACCACCCTCTGGGGGAGGAACCTGCACCTGGTGTCCCACCCAGCGGGGTCCTGTCACCGGCACCGCAGCAGAGGGCGGTGCTGAGGAAGATGAGGAGCTCGAGGGTCTCCAGCTGAGCATTCCCAGCTCCCTCAGCCCCTCCTGACCCTTCCTCATCCTGGTGGCCTCTTTTGGGCACTTCCAAAGGTTTCTTTTTCCACGTTTTGGTGACCAAAACTTCACAAAATACCCAGAACTTCGTGGAATATCCAACTTGAGGCCTGGGGACAACCCCGAGGCAACTGGGGCCACCATAAAGTGATGGGGGACCACCTCAAAGAGATGAGGGACCACCCTGAAGTCAGAGGGACCATCCCAAAGAGATGTGGGACCACCCCAAAGCCATGTGGGACCACCTCAAAGCCACGTGGGACCACCCCAAAACCACATGGGACCATCCCAAAGCCATGTGGGACCATCCCAGAGATGTGGGACCACCTCAAAGCCATGAGGAACCACCTCAAAGCCACGTGGGACCACCCCAAAACCACATGGAACCACCCCAGAGTGATGAGAAACCACCCCAAAACCATGTGGGACCACCCCAGAGACATGTGACCACCCAAAAGCCATGAAGAACCACCCCAAAGCCATGAGGAACCACCCCAAAGCCACGTGGGACCCCCTGAGCCCAGGGAGCACCACCAAGCGCCGCAGATCCACCACGGGGACGCGGCAGGACTCACTCGTAGAAGTCGGACTTGGAGATCTTGAGGAAGGTGCAGTCGCGGTTGGCCTTGATGGTGAAGATGAGAGGTTCCCCGGTGAGCACGGCCAGCTGTCCCACCAGCTCGCCGGGCTGCGTGAGGAACAGGCAGACGTCCTCCTCCTTGTCGATCATGCGCTGGTAGACGTGGAGACACCCCCAGAGCACGAAGTGCAGGCTCACGTCCTGCCGAGGAGGTCCCCTGTCACCTCCCGAGGTCACCCCGGGAGGTCCCACCACCAGCATGAGAGGTTCTTCTGGTTGTCCTCTGCTCTTGGGGTGGTTTCTGCCCCACCATGAGGTAGGAGGAGGTGAAGGTCCCCCAAAACACACCCGGTCACCTTGGTGTGGTGGACCAGTGTCCACCATTGCCACCCCCTGTCACCTCCCAAGGTCACCCCGGGAGGTCCCAGCACCATCATGAGGGGTTCTTCTGGTTCTCCTCGGGTTGTTCCTGCCCCACCACGAGGTAGGAGGAGGTGAAGGTCCCCAAACCCCACCTGGTCACCCTGGCGAGCGATGACCGTGCCGCCCTTGGCGTGGTGGAGCAGCACGCGGTTGTTGAGCAGAGAAGGGTCCTGGAGAGGAGAACGAGACCATTGTGGGGTCACCATGAGGGTGATGGGATGGCCAGGAGGCCATGGAGACCACCACAAAGCAATGGGGTCCACCATGAGGAGATGGGAACCCATGGGAACCACGGAGAACTCGCCAGGAGCCCATCCCAACCCTACAGGACCACCAGGAACCCACCAGGAACCCATCCCAACCCTACAGGACCACCAGGAACCCATCCAAACCCTACAGGACCACCAGGAACCCACCAGAAACCCACCAGGAACCCATCCTGACCCTACAGGACCACCAGGAACCCACCAGGAACCCATCCCAACCCTACAGGACCACCAGGAACCCATCCCAACCCTACGGGACCACCAGGAACCCACCAGAAACCCACCAGGAACCCACCCCGACTCCACAAAGCCCTCCGTGACCCCGTGGCCACCCTCACCTCGATCTTCATGAGCTTGATGAGCTCCCGCTTGGCCTCCTCGAAGATGTCGCTGGTCTGGCGGCCCTGGTAGGGCCCGAAGGGACAGGTCCCCGTGGCGGTGGCCGTGGCCGTGTCCTCCTCGCAGGAGCTGTAGTGGTAGATCCCCGAGGGCTGCTCCTCCAGCGTCACCGACTTGCGCTCCTTGGGCTCCTGGGACGCCTGGGGGGGATTCGGGGGTGG